TGGAAAGTGCCAGGTTATGGCTGTTTAAAATGCACCTTCTGGATCCAGGCCCTTCCCTGAACACAAGTGTGAGTGTCAAGAGAACTGGGGAGCATCAAAATATTAAAAGCATGATGAGTCAAAACAGTGAGGATTGTTGCTTTTTCAGAACACTTTATTTAATCGTTGTTATTCTATGCAATAAGATCAAGGGAGCGTGTTTGTTGCAATAGCTTTGGTATCTTTGTGGTCAGCTGCAGCAGGAGCAGCTGCTATTATAGACAAGGTTGTCATAGTTAATTGTGAAGAAAGTTTTAATGATCAAACATTTTTAAAAGCTGCTCTTGTTGGTTGAGTCTGCATGGGTTTGACAGCACAGAAGCCACTCGCATCGCAATCTCTTCAGTCATTATTCCAGTTTGTGTTCACACTCCCACTTCCATGTTTAGGATGTACATGGACTTGAGGTCTGGACTGTTAACAGCTCTAGCAGCCTGAAATGAAAGCATGAAGTAGTTTTCCTTTGAGAAGGGATTATATTTCTAATGGACTCTCCTCGTTATGCCCCATCCATGGTCCTATGGCATTACAAGCACACCAGCATTTTATAGCTGATATAGTAAGCACAACCCCCTTGTTACTCAAAGTACTCACTGTTTTGCTGACCAAGGCCGTTCTTCAGGGTGGTGATCAGGGGATATTTGCCCTTCTTGCAGAAAGTGCTGGTGAAGTCATCCATATCAAGGGACCAAACCATAGCACCTCCAAAATTGTTCTTCTTCAGCCAGTCAACCTGTTCAGTGCCAGGAGAGAAAGCCCAGTTAGTGCCGGGACCTGCTACTGCAGAAGGCCTCCGGCCTTATTATTAGGCAGCCACACATCCCGCTGTACCTTGAGGCTGAAGCTCCTGATGTTGTCGTAGCCAACCCATTCGTTGCCCTTGTAGGCGTAGGGCACGTACTGGGGGGAATCCCAAGCCTGAGTGGCTCCGGAGTTCAGGAAGCTGCAGATCTAGGAAGAAAGGGGAGAGAGGGAGAAGTTAGCAAGTGTCCTGCAAAAAAGGGCAGCTGCAATGTTCCTTGGGTTAAAGATTCGTTTCTGAGAAGTGTGAGGAGTGTTTGTGTTGTTCTTGGTGGCCTGGGTGTGCTGGAGCACACATACCTCGTAGTAAGCCAAGGTCCCAGGCTGCGCTGTGTAAGGTCCAGCTGGCCCAGGTCCTGATGTTGGTGCCCCAACACCATTGTTAGATGGGTTTTGGAGGTTGAAGTTGTGTCCGTATGTTGGGAATCCAACAATGAGCTTCTCAGCTGGGGCACCATTGTCCCTCCAATAATTCATAACGTAATCCTGTAAGAAAACATTACTGTTCAAATCTTTGCCTGGATTTGTAGGCAGGAGGATGAATTTCTAAACTTCTCATTCACAGTTAAAGTCTGTGCCAAGATTTGTAGGCAGGAGGATGGCTTCTGTGGCTATGGCCCCAAAATATACTTACAACACTGAGGTCACTGTCACCACTACTGTACAGAGGGCTGTTCTCCCCAGTACGTCCATCCCCAGAGCTATAGAAGTCGTAAGTCATCACATGGATGTAGTCCAAGTACCTGTGGAGAACGTTGACTGCGTCTCTCTCCTGGCCTGGTGAGTCACCCAGACATGACTGTTCCTTTAATGCTGGTCATTTATCCCAACACCCCCATGGTCATGTCCCCACCTTCCGCAAATTCTCTGCTTCAGAGGAGGAAGTTGAATGGAAGTTGCACTGGTATTCTGGGAACCGAGAGATACTTTTATGGAGCGGTTGGAGCCAGCCTGCTGTTACACTTTGTTTCCTGAGGTGTCCCCTTCCCCCCGAGCCAAGCACCACTCTCAGGGCACTCTTGCC